CATTAAGCAAGTGAAAATCCCTGCAACACTCGTAAATTGTAACAAGCTGATTGTATACCAGTATGTAGCATTTGATGAAGTATGTCATTAAATGAGGAGTTGTGTTGAGAAATTGAGAGTTCCTGAGCTCTCTTGCTTGGAATAGGCTAAACTAGTCTAAGAAAACCAGTAATAGTTAAACTGCATCCAACTCTGGACAGGCTCCTAACTTTAAAACTGTGATAGTAAAACTAAATAAATAATAGCAATTAACAGCCCTCCCTAACACTAATGGACAAAAGAGTTGCTTTGTCTTGTGGAGGTAGTGAAAATGAAACTATTCTAAAACGAGAAATGTGTATATGAAAAGCAGACGTAAGATGAAAAGTGCTTATTAATATCCATTAATGTAAAATATTTTGCACAGTATGCTGGTTTAAGAGTTGTTCAAAATTAAACATTTGCAAATTAAGTTGTGATGCCTGTCTTTAAACTGTGCATTGACAGTTTTAAATACCTAGTTTTGAACTGTTGCAGCAACATGACATAAATTAATTTGTCTTGGGGATATCATTATTCCCAGAGTGATCTAGGATGCATTAAGAATGCCTGTGTTTTGATTATAATATATATTAGTCATCTGGATGGTGCAGTTTGTATAGAATAGTTCTATGGTACTTTCATGCATAAGCAAATGCAGGCATTCACCATTTCCTTCTGGGTTAGTTCAGAACTGCTCAAGTCAACGTTGGAGGACTTGGAGCACTGCTGCTTAAGCAGTTGGAGGTATTTCCTGAAGCAAGGCTGGACTAGAAAGCTGTGCTCCAAGAGAAACAGGGCTGGTGGCTCCTCTCAGCTCTAATGGGGGTATTTTGATGTGGCAGTGTTGTCCAGCAAAGCCACATGTGTGGCAGATCAGGTTCATTACCACATTTCATTTGGTGAATATATGACTCTGTTATTTCCAGTCCCTGCAGCTTTCCTTTGAATCCAGGCTCAGGACTGAGAGATTGGTGGGTGGGTTCTTGGGCTGAACTGATTCTGCTGCTTTCTGGAGAGTTAACCCTAAAGTGTTTCAATTCAGCTTTACTTTTAGAGTGAGGCATAACTTTTGTGTCCTCAAAAACGCTTTAACATTTCCTTAGTCCTGCCATTTTCTCCTTTTAGTAGAAGTCACAGTAGATAGCAAAATAAATTTCCCTTAATGCAAATAATAGTGTTCCCAAGCTGTATTTTTCAGCTCTGATGTCAGCAGTTCTGTTGGAGACCAGCAGGAAAGACTTTTTAATTGAAGTAGAGACACTGCCTCTTTCTTCCATTCCATTTTCTGCAGGTGGAAGAAAGTTTTGGAAACCATACCCTATGGTTTTATTCTCAGCTCTGCTACTAATATCCTCCATGACCTTTGACAAATCTCTGCTCTGCTCATTGTCATAACTCCCAGAAAATAGCTTGAGGAAATAAAACTGCACTTTCACACTGGTGTAGTAGTTAGGAATGATCCCAGGGTTACTAAACTGAATATGTCACCTTTCTTATAGGCTGTTTCCCTTGCTTTAGGCTACTGCAAGTCATGTAACCAAATAAATGTTATTTCAGCTCTGCCTTGTATCTGTAAATAGGAGTTAATGAGTTGCTGCATCCCGTGGTTGGCTTGTGACGTGGAGGTCTCCAGAGGGAGGATGAGGAGAGGCTGCCATGGAAAGTCCCTGGCTGTTGCTAGGCAGCACTGCATGTCCCAAAGTCTGCACTCAGGTTTGGCAAGAAAAGGGAAGACGGAGGGATGGAAAACCATTCAAAGATGGCTTGACTTACTTTTTCTACAGCATGGCTCTGCTGTGCTGGGTGCAGAAAGTGTGTGGCTGCAAGTGAGGTGGAAGCAATTTGATTAAATAGAATAACATTTGATAACTTGCCCTCCATGTGTTCATTCTCAGCTGCAGGATCATGTGGCTGGCTTGCTCTCTCCCTCTGTTTTGGATCTTACTATGATGTGGGATCTTGGAAGCTGTAAGAGTGCAGCACAAGTGGTCTTGCTCTGCTTTCAGTCTAAGTGGAAATAAGAGAATCTAGCAGTTCCAGGGAGCTTTGTATGCTGAGATTTATGCTCCAGTTTTAACAGCCTGTGGGTGAGGGGATGTTATGTTTTTATTTTTCTACTCAGTCCATCAAGAGGAATGCCAGGAACAAATAGAAAACGCAAGAGGAACGAAAATTGTTATGTAGGGTATCTTGCTCTTGCTGCACAATGAAACCTTTGCAAACTGTAGCAGTAGTGTAACTAGTGGTAAGAGTCTCATATAATTAAAGCTTATCACAACAGCATTACTAAAAGAACACTTCTGTTTTCTACCAGAAGAGTAGGACTTGAGATACAGCTGAGCACTTGAATTTCTCTTGGAAGAGTTCAGGTGGCTGTCCATCTATCTACAGGCTAGTTCAAACCTTTCCTTCACTATTTGGTGTCATCTTGTAATTTCTGTCTCTGTTGGTCCTCCCTATATGTGTTAATACAAGGCCAGGATGGGTAAGTGTCTTCCTGCCTCTGCTGCAAGATATTAGTTGGGAAATAATGTCTTTTGTTGCACCCTGATGAAGTCATTGGGAGACCTGTGGATGTGATCATGCTAGGCACTTCATCCCACTGGACTGTACTGGAAGGTGTTGTACTTGCTCCTTGGCCAGCAGAGCTCTGTTTTTTCTCTTTCAACAGAGGATTCAGTGGTGCTACTGAGGCAATGTAGAACTTTGTGTCACAGCCTCACTTCATCCTGAGGGTTCTGCCAAGTACTACTATAAAGCTCTGCTTTACAGTAGCCTGGGGAAGTTGAGGGTCTCACCCAAAGTTAAAAAGCTTGTAGTCATATGGGATGCAGCAGGATATGTTCTGCTCTAACAGCATTCTTCCCCTAAAGGATGGGGCTCAAAATCACGAGTCCTGATTCTCACTTGCATTGCTCAACGCAACTTAGTCTTGCACATTCTATCCCACCAGTGGGCTTGTGGCTTGAGCTATCTAGCTTACCCTTCTTCATCACAGCTGCTGGAAGAAAAACTTAGGGAGAGACCAAAACTTTGCAGGACCTCACAGCTCCTGACTTTGCCCTTCCTTACACCCTGGGTTTTGTCAGCCCTACCAAGGTCTCCTTCCTTCTCTCTTTTTCACTGTGTGGTTATGGGGGCCTTAAGAAAGGCAGTGACCTCACAGTAAATACTAGCCTTACTGCAGCTGCTTTGTAGCCTGGCTGGGAGCTGAGTCCTGTGATATTTCGTAGAATTCCCAGGAGGACTTGTTTAGTACCGTGGGCTGGGCTAGTTCAGTTCAGCAGTTCCCTTCCTCTCCTGCCTGGTTAGTGCAAAGACTTTTTGGGTTAGAAACCTTGGGGCTGTGCTGCCAGGTCAGACCTGGGACCAGAGCAGTCAGACATGGCTGCTGTTGAGTCCTTTGAATAATGCTGACAGCAGTAGGATTCACCTGCTAAAGGATTAACAGAAAAAGCTCAAAATCATTGCAGCACCTCCCTTCTTCCCCATGCATGCTTGGATAGTGAAATACACTGTCCTTGAGCCCCAAACTATTAATGTGAAAGTTTCAAAGTGGGATGTGAGTGTGCCAAGTTCTGGATTTTAGATCAAAGAGGCTGATGTGTGTAGAAATGCTGGGTGGATCTCCGAGTCCCTCTCCAAGTTTTGGGCAGTAATGTGGATTGGGACTGCAAAGACGTGCTTATGGGATGTAGAGTGACAGGGCGGTGGAGGAATGGGACTTCTTCCCACCTCCCAGCAGTACTTTCTACTGGAAAAATAATAAATATTTTCACCTAAGCACTGACTTCAATTTTGGGGTGGTGCTTTTTCTTCTGAATTTTTTAGAGGTTTTTGTATGTTTTGGATATTTTAAGCTTTTGAGTTTCCAAGCCTCCCTGTACTGTGTTGCGTTTATCTTGCTTTGTGCTAGAGAAAGCAGAAGGACAACAAAGAAAAAGAGAGAAAATATTCACTCACTATTTACCACTCATGGGTAAAATGGTGGGATGTCTTTCTACAGCCTTTAAGAACTTCCTCTGAAAAACACTTGAGTTGCTTTGTAAAAGCATGTGAGTGTGGGGAGTGTTTTCCCATACTTCACACAGCTTTCCAACTGGAGAAGTGTTAAAAACAGAAGCTAGGAAAATCTTGTATTTCTTTCAAAAGCTGATGGAGAAGATTCTTCCTGACATGGCTCCCTCACCAGGTTTTTCAGTATGAAAAATGTAGTTGAATTATTTTTTTAAATGAAAGAGCTGTTCTCTTGAAGCCTTGTTTTTCCACTTGGGATTTGTTTTGTGATGATTTTTGAGGGGAAAGAATGATTTTATTCACTTGCCAGCTTTCAAAACACTGCCTCAAAACTGGGATAGAACTTCAACTCACCCATTTATTTCTGTAATTTCCCAGAATAATTGCTGGTTCAAGTATATCCTGTTTGCTAAGCTGTGTGGTTCATGTTATGACAACTTTAATGACTCTTGCAATATGTGGCAAAGAGATTTAGAACTGCAGGCAGGTGCCTTTACCTTGTTTTTTTTTTTTTCTTTATTCTAAATAAATAAGCATAATGAAAATATCTGTTAAATAATGCGAACATCCACATTTACATGAAATAGACTATTTTTTCCTTTGTAAGGGAAGACAAATTCACCTGCTTCAGGGCAGAGTCTAACCACTAATTGACGGAAATGAAGAAGAAACTTCCTTTCAGGCAGTTGTTCTATCTCTTTCCTTGTGAAATTTCTTGTATGTTCTTTCAAAACCCAGGGAATCAGCCACTGCCAGAGGACTCTGCAGGCTGCATGAGACAGTCTCAGATTAGGCTGATTACTTGTTGGCCACTTTGGTGATCCTTAATCTTTCATGTCTCACTTAACCATCCATCCATCTTGTTTTAATGAAGTCTTGATTAAAAGGGACTCCTTACAATATCCCTCTTTCTGTTCATTCATGCTATATCTACTAATCCCTGGATTCTACTTCTCTTTCAGAAGATGCTGCTCAAGAAGAATTGTGGAGCGAAGACTAGAGTAATTAAAATTCGTGTAAGTTGCCCTTTTCTGGTGCAGTTCCTTCATCTTTCCACATATACCTGATGTGGTCATTCTCACTGACCGTCTGTGTCCACAAGATGATTTCTGGAGATTTCCTGTGGCTTGATCAGCTGCATAACAAAAATTGCTAGCGTGGAGTATAGACTGTAGTTGCAATTTAGGTTAGGTGCAGACAAGGCTGGTAATACATTGTCTTTTCCATTCTGGAGACTGTGGTTTCAAAGCTTCCTTGGTGTAAAAGTCTACATCCCATGCTGGGAGCTCATACAGCATAGCTGTCCAGTGGGGTGTCATTTGGATTCTTCTTGACCAAGGGGTGTTTGGTAGGGGTGAGAGGTCTTAGGTAGCTGGGGAAACGGGACTGTACCTGCATGATGGTGTTGGCAGAACCAGATGGGATATGGGACTGAGTGATGACAGATCAGATCTACATTGCTTGCATAACTTTTTAGCTGGGATGAAGCTGTAGTGTCCTGAGCCTCTCCATGCTTGACAGCCTGCATCCCTATCAGGTGTGCTCAAATCTTGTCCTTGTAGATTTTGTTGCCTCCACCTCTGAGAGTTTTGTCTTTAGCAGATTCCTGGATTCCATCAGCCAACCCCTGCTTCCTTTGTGGGTACCTTGTCTTTCTTCTGGTCAGTGTTATATGTGTTGTGGGAGGTGTATCCTAAGCTGAATCAAATAGAAATGTGGCAAGTAGGTGGAGGGAGGTGATTCTCCCCCTCTACTCTGCTCTGGTGGGACCCCAGCTGGAGTGCTGCATCCAGTCCCTGACAGAAGAAAGACATGTAACTGTTGGAGCAAGCCCAGAGGAGGGCTGTGAAATTAAGAGGACTGGAACACCTTCCCTATGAAGACAGGCTGAGAAAGCAGGGGTTGCTCTGCCTGGAGAAGATAAGGCTCCTCGGAGACCTTGTATCACCTTCCAGTGCCTAAAGGGGGCTGTGAGGGAGCTGGAGAGGGACTTTTCACAGGGGTGTGTAGTGATGGAACAAGGGGGAATGGCTTTAAGCTGAAGGACAGTAGATTTAGATTAGATTTTGTGAAGAAATTCTTTACAGTGAGGGTGATGGATGCCCTGGAACAGGTTGCCCAGAGAAGTTGTGGCTGCCCCATCCCTGAAAGAAGAATTGTGGCCAAGTTGGATGGGGTTCTGAGCAACTTGGTCTAGTAGAAGGTGTCTTTGTCGTGGCAGGGGTATTGGAACTAGATCATCTTGAAGGTGTCTTCCAACCCAAAACATTCTAAAATTGTTTGTTTGTGACCTTTTATGTTGTCACCAAACCAGGTGTACCTCAGTCCACATGATCCTTCATGTTTGTGATACACAGGCAAAAACAGATTAGGGGGAAGAAAACAAATATTCTTCATGATGAAGCTGCTATTTTCACTGCAGTGTTTTTTATAGCCTTGCAAAAGGAATGAATGACAGACCAGGATCCTTTCAAGGTTTTTACCTTGCCCAGCAGGCAATAGGAACGATGCCTTTGTGTACCCAGAAGTGCTGCAGTTAATAAGCATGTGGTTGGATGTCCTTGCCCATCACTGCTCTGGAAATGAATTTGGTATCTGAGAGGAGGAGGAGCAGGTAGAGCTGGCTAGAGCCTTGTGCAGAGCTGGGAGTGGTATTTTTCTGATTTTTCAAACACATCCTGTTAGGGCTCTTCAGTCCTGTCTTCCAGCATCCCCAGAGTGACCTGATACTTCTGATTGCACAATTAATCTTGATCTCGTACGTGCTCTTATGTGCTTCTGCCTGGATTGTTTTCAATATAGCTGTGTCCTTTTGTGACCCATGAACTCTCCCCAGACTGTGCCTCTCCTTCAGACCTGCCAGCTGTCTAATCCTCCTGCCATGTTTTAGCACATCTTGTTGTATTACCTCCCTTTATGCCTGCCCCCTACTCTTTCACTGGTTTTTTTCTGGTGTCCCTGGACACCAGCTGTTTCCAGTGGTGCTTGGTGATGGTTCTCTAGTCCCTTGGGTTTCAGTGATGCCTCAGTGAGGTGGTTTCCTGACATCTTAAGCTCATTATTGTGCCTTATTATTGTGCCCCTGGGGAACCTGAAAGGAGAATTATCCCTTTGCTCCTTAAGCCCGCGTCAGCTTGCAATAAAATAAACAGCAGAAACTGAGAGCACACTTTTCTGACAGATGGCACAAAATCCACTCTGCTCTGGCCAGCCTTGCCAAGCTGGGACAGTGCCTCTCCACCTGAGGCATTTGTGGTTTCCATGATAATAGCATGTGATACTTCACAGCCTCTTGCTGGTCTCTTATGGTGGCAGAGCTGTTAAGTAAAGGTGCATTTTTTGCCTCCATTTTTCAAGTGATTGTGAATGCCCACTTTTGTGTACCCAGCTGAGAAAGGAAGCAGCAGGTCCCTGGCAGAACTCTTTGCTGAAGTGCCTCAGCTCTGGAAACAGCTGAGAGGTCAATACTTCTGAAAGACAGTGCCATCCTCTCATCATATAAAGGGAAACCTCAATCCAGCCAGCAGGACATGCTTGGCATGGTATTCCTTCTCAGTGTTGCCCAGCAGCAGAACAAGAGGTAATGGGCACAAGATATTCAGGTTGCCCAGAGAAACTGTGGAATCTCTGTCCATGGAAAGAGTCACGGTGTGCCAGGATGCAGTCCTGGGCAACAGGCTCCTGCTGACTCTGCTTAGAGGAGGGGGTTTGAACTTGGCTATCTCTAGAGCTGCCTGCCAACCTTGACCCTTCTGTGATTTCTGGGTCTTGTCCAACGTTCAGTAATGGAGTCAGAGCACACTAGGGACCTAAGTATTGGAAGGGCTATTCTGAGGCCCTACTGAATGTGGCCTTTTGCAAAGAGTAATAACAGGAGGCAGGGTGAGAGGCTTGGTTGTCTGTTGCTGAGGGTCTGGTGGCACGGGTTCATTGTTGGAACCTGTCCATTGTGGTGAGGGTAGAAGAAATGAGGGCAGCTCTCATAGTGATGGGTTGATGAGCTGTTAACAGGAGGAACCAGGCAGCTGTCTGTGAACCACCATCATCATGTGAACCACTTTGTGTCACTCTAGTACTGATGCACAGGTGTTCCTGTTTCAGCTCAGGCAAAGTCTTTCTGAACTGAGGTGGTCAGAGATATCCAGACAGTATACAACTGGATGAAGATGCAGTGAATGACCTGATCTGAGGAGCAGGCAGGATATCTAATGGCTTGTGCCAGGGATTGGAAGCAAGGATCCTTGCTTTCTCCCTTCAGTTTTTCTGCTGCTGCTGAATAACTTGTAGGAGAAAGGATCATGCTTATTCTATTTTGTGTGAGGACTGTGATGACAGTGACCTTCTAGTATCATCAGTGAAGCATTTTCATCCTGTTCTTGCTGAGATCAGTGTCTCATGTGTAGTGGGATGATGCCTGCTTTTAAAAAACCTTCCTCCTAGTTTATACTTTGGTTGCCTTGACATCCTGTGGCTTTGCTGGCATGTCAGGGTGCAAGGTGTTGTTTTCTCATGCATCATTACAGCTATTCCTTCCTCTGTCTTCTGCTGGAAGAGTTTCCCTTAGGAAGGTGAGATGGAGGGCCAGTGTCTTTGCCCTCTGGCATGGAAACACAGCTACAGCCTTTGGAAATGTTTCAAGTCTTTGGTAGTCTTTCTTAAGCAGGTGACCTGGGTTGGGTTTTGCTGCTGTTTTAGCACTAAGGTGTCACCTTGCAGTTGTTTCCTGTACTTAAGTTTCCCAAGGGCCAGCTCAGATGGTGATCTGCTACAGCCTTTCCACTCACTCAGCAGTTCTTAAGTGTGATGATGGGATAGTGATGTGACAAGTCTAAGAACCTAGGCAGATTATGGAAGAGAGATTAGTAACCTTTTCTAACATGCAGCAGCTCAGTTTGAAATGTTTTCAGGAATAGCAGCTGTGAGAAGTAGCAGCCTACAGTGAAGAGCAAATAATATTAAAAAGAAAAAAATATTGCCTCTGTTCCATCCCAGTGAAGGATAATGGAACAGAAGGATCACCCCCTGTGGGCAGATGATCAGAGATAAATTAGAGGTGACATCATTACATGAAGTGTGGATTTGTACATGAAAGGTAAATGTAGCAATGCCTGTGCCACTGCAAGGTCAGGGGCAGGTGTTGGCCTATGTGGGTGTTGCCCATGAGCTGGGCAGTGTGAGTGTGCAGACCTGGTCCCTGGTGCCCCAAAGTGTCAGGCAGTGTCATGTCTGTGACTGGAACCAAGGGACTGGAAGTGGGAGAGGGGCACACGCACATTGTGGGTATTTTAGTGTCCAGAGTGTGTTTGCGTGGTGTGTTTTGCAATGGAGATGCTTCCTGGGCACTGGAAGGAGCAGAACTGTGACAATGTGCTCGTGGGGTGTAACTGCCTCTTCCCTAGACCAGGCTTGGCCAGCTCTGAATGCAGAGACCTCTCTTCCAGTGTATCTATAATACTACTGGTCTTCGGTTCTCCAGGCCCTCTTGGGATGAGGGTTAACCAGGACTAAGTGACAGACTTTTTTGTTCTTCCTTGACAAACTTCTACATTCGGTCTCTGAATGGGATTGGTGGTGCTGAGCTTATCTTAACAGCCGTAGGTGGGTAGAAGACACCCGGGGGCTTACCAGTTGTGTCTCAAGGATCTTGTTGGGGCTGGCAGAAAGGAAGGAAGGATTTCAAGGCCAATCTGATAACCTGGCTGATCAGAGATGTTTTCTGCTATATAAAAATAAGAATTTTAAATCAGAACATAAACCTCTTGTGCTCTTGTCTTGATCTTATCACTGTTGAGAACACCCTCTGCTTGGACAGGGGCCAGATTCCTTGAATGACTTCCCTGTCTCTTATCTCTTACTCTGCATCCTAAAAGGCCACTGCAGAAACATGCTGGCTTTTCTTCTCCTAAAACAAGGGACCTTTTCAGCTTGGAGCTGAGCAGGAGATATGCTGGCCAGAGCCTTCTGAGCAGATGCCCGAGCTATTCACAAGTGCAAGGCATACCAGGTGACAGAGTAG